TCAGTTTGCTCATCCCTTGTCTGAACTGCTCTCCACTCTTTTTAATACTTAAAAACAGATCTAAAACCACAGCATAATAATAATAAAAGAAACAAGTTGGGGTAGGAACGTGAAGTAAAAGAAAGAAGCAGGAGAATAATAGCCTTTAATGTATGTGAATCTCTTTTTCCTTCCTTTCTACCATGAGCTTTCTTCTCAACAGCTTTCTGTTTCCTTCTCTTTTATTATATATTCATTGCTTCTAGTAATACATTCATACAGTAATAGAGGTGAAAGGGGAGTTTAATTATATAATCTTGACAATGGCAATAGGATTAAGAAGTAATCCTCACTAATAAAGTGGTGTGGGTTAGAAATGAAGTGGAAATTGTCAGGGGTCTTCTACAGGACCTGGGCTGCCCCAGCTTCTGCAGCTGTCTGCTTGCCCTGTAATTGAATGTCTGAGGGTGATTGAAAAAATGTTATTTCTCCTCTGGATTACATGCTAATGTACAGAGGGCAAAGGGAGACAGCAAAAGAACACATAGCTGCTTATTTCATCCATTTGTGGGGGTGAGCTTTGGGAAATCATGGCAGTTCTGCAGCTATCTCATGCCCATCTGCAAACACAATGTATTTGTACATTGGGAATAGAGGGCAAAGCTGCTCTGATCTCAGCAGAGCATCTCTTCTTTTGTCCTAGTGGCACACATTGAGATTGATGCGAGATTAAGGACCATCACCCTCCTAACAATTGATGGAAATGACAATTCATCTGAATTTTTTGTCAGTTATTCTCACATTGATTACCTGAACGTGTGTACCTCATTTTTAGATGCTTTATTAAAACAAAATCGTCCGTGTCACTTTCATATCTTCAGCTGTTTTATAAAAGCCAGCTAATACAGCAACCGAGAACCTTCATTTCCTTACCTCATAATCAGCCAAATGACAAACCTAACTTGTTTTCTTTCTGCGTGTGTTAGTTTATATAATAGGCCCTGTATTGCCGGATCTGTGCTGAACCTTTTGTTTTCAGTGGTCGTCTGATTTGTCCCCGTGATAAGCCCTGTGGAGATGTGATCATTCCAATAAAAATTCATTCAGTTGGAAACCAACCCTCCAGCTGTTTACTCCCATAGTCCCCGAGCTACACTAACGCTGTACGGAATCCTTGAAAAATATTTTATGTGAAATCAAAAGCATCTTTAAAACATTTTACTGTAGGCTCCGTAAGGCTGTGTAACTTTGACGATAGATTTCTGTTATCCATGAGGGAACGCTTCACAATCAGACAACTTTGAGCCTTGCCTGCTTTCTTCATCTTTGTAGAAAGCTATGGAAACTCTCCAGTACCTACAGAATGCATCTGACAGTAAGATTTCAAGTGTTGGTGTGTGCACTCCCTGTATTGCGTACAACAGAAGGAATGCAACCGCTGAAGTTTCTCAAAAAGAAAATGTGTCTGAGTGAAAACCGTATCTTGCCATGCTGAAGGCAGCTCTGGCATCTATAATGTATGCATCAGTTTGCAATTGTAGCGGCTTCAACTTTGCGCAGAACAGGGAAACTGTAAATCTATTACATATGTTCCCTTCTGGCATAAAAAGATTCTTGGTTTTTAAGGAAGGGCTATGATCTTTGTTGTATTTATTTTTGTATGCTGGGTTTGAAAAACAAGTAATTGTGACAATGGTTGGTGTTTGTACTCCTTGGCAGGTCCGGTTGCCCTGAGCGCGCCAGCTCAGCTGGTGGCACCCTCGGTGGTGGTGAAAGGCACTCTGTCCATCACTCTTTCCGAGCTCTACTTCGAGGTGGATGAAGAAGATCCCAGTTTTAAGAAAATCGACCCGAAGGTAAGAGATCATTGACCCTGAGCTCTGAGAGATGATGACAAATTACCCGAGCCCTTTAATTCTTCATTCTATTCCCTTTACCGCTGTTGGCTCTCAGTGCTCCTGCTTTAGGAAGTTTGCGACTGACCATATATGTTAGCAAACTTCTCTTGAGCGACATCTCCTCTCCTCCCTGTTCTCCCCCTCCCACAATTCGGCCCTACTTGAATGTTAATTAGCTGGCTGCGAATAAAGCTCCAGGGAGGCATCTGAAATAAAGACATCTTGAATCGCAGGCCTGTGTGAACACAGGAAAGTCCAGCCAGCCTGTTAGCCCAAACGCTTTGTTTTACTTTCCTCTTTTCACGTAAAGCCAGCATAACATTGTGCTTAACCCTCCATGCTCTTAAGTTTTCAGTGCTTCAGCATCGTATTATTATATAACAGATTTTACAGCGCCTGTTACTATTTACAGTGCCTAAACAGAAAACTTAATTGCCCTCTTAAAAGTACGTTCTGGAACTGACTTGTTAATTTTCACAAGCTTTACTTGCTCTGAGCTACTTGATGGCCAGAGTTTGTTTAAAAAGAGAAACCTTTCAGTAAAATTCCAATTTCGGGGGCAGTATATTCTGACATCATAAGGTTACACCTGAATGTTCTATGCAGCGTCGCAGCAGCGTTTGAAAAGCGCGGCATGTTACAGCAAATATTCTCATATCCATGTTAAGCACATTGATGTCTGCTGGTCTTTAAAATGTCTGCTTATTATTAAACGTGCGGGTAATTTCTTGGTGAAGGGAAAAAAGTCCTTTTTTCCCACCAGAAGACATAGTAGGTTTGTGCTGATCTGTCCGCAGCGCCCTGTGTGTTAAGCAGTGCTTTGGGTCTCAGTTCCTGTGGAGTAAATGGCTCTCATCTATATTAAATGTGCTCTGAAAGCTGGGATCATCGAGTGCCATCAAGGAAAGCATTTAGTTTGTAAAGAACACTCTCCAATCCTGCTAGCTAATCGCTCATAGAAAACTGTAGCTCAAAGAGTGATTTTATGTTGTGCCATAAATGGAATTTAACTTTTTTCTGGTCCTGAAATATTTTGGAAATTATTTTAAAGTGTGAAATAGCTCTTAAAATTTGGATGTGCTTCCTATTCCCGTAGTACTTTTTGAAATACGTAACGGGTAGGAAACGTCTCAACATAAAATATGAGGACAAGTTGCTGTAGTTGATCCTCCATCTTCAGTGTTGTGCCGTGCCTTGTACCGCACCACAGAAACCTTCTGGCTTTGCGGCATTCTGCACTTCTGCTTTCCGCGCAGGACGTTTAAGCACAGATAAGAACTCTCCCCGTTTTTGTGACCTGCTTTGTGAGGACGTGGCCACGTTGGGCTGGCTTTCTTTTCTCCCGTTTTCTAATCGCTGGGAGTGGCTGTTTCCCTGCCCGCGGGCAGAGCTCTCCTTTGGTCTGACTGTCTTTCATTCTGCGTCTGAGACATTTTCTTTAGCTTCTTAGAAAAGGAGTCTGTTATGTGAAGCATGGGCTACACATCTCTTACGTTCTATTTGTGATGCTACTTTCACAGTAAGGCTTGAAAAATATATATCTTAATATCTCTTTTTGGGAGAGGAGGGCTAAAAAGAAACGGTGTGAATTTTGATTTGAAATAGCGATGAGCTCCCGCTGCAGCTCGCTTTTAAGCTTTAACACCTCCCTGCCCCACCCTCCGCTTGGATCGCAGTGCCTGGAAGTACGCCCCTAAAACTTAAAACCCCTAAGCAGAGTAGCTCAGAAGGCGCCCTTAATTAACGAGGCTTCATCCGTTTGCTAAATTTAAGTTAAATTTAAGTCTGTTTGTCCAAAGTACCGAAAAGAAAGCAGTGTGACAAGGTGCCGAACGAACGCCGGCGCTGGCGCTGCTACGAGTGCCGCTCAGATCAGGGCTGTTTTCCCACGGAAACGGCCGCACCGCCAGGTGAGCCGGGGGGCAGCGGGGTTGCACCGCATCCCTCCCGGCCCCGCCGCGCTGCCCGCGTCTCTCGCTTCGTTCGGTTTCTCGCTTCGAATGGGAACGGCTCTTTCTTTCCGGCTCCCACCGCAAAGAAACGGAAGCGGCGTTTCGGAACGAGAAGTTGCCTTTCGCCTCCCCTCCGAGGGACGCCGAAACTTGTACTAAATGCTGAGAATCGGCTCGGAAGCCTGTCGGGGTGGGGATGGGGGGGGAGCGGGACAGCTAACGACGACGCCGTTAACGCTGAAAAACGCTGCAAACGTTTCCAAAGCGGGGAAGTTAAGCTGAGCGGGGAGGGCGCGGCGCTGGCTGTCCCAGGAGCTCCCGGTCTCGAGCGGGCAGCCCGTGGGGAGACCCACAGCCTTCGTGCCGCTGCCGCCGAGCGAGCGGGGCGGTGATGCGCCGGCACCGTTCGGGGTGGCTCCGTACTTCGCGTCCAACGGGACGGCGCTTTAGCACGGGGAATTTGTAGCGCGAAATAAAAGCACTCGAGGTTTAGTGGGGAAAAAAAAAAAAGAGAGAGAGAGAGAAAAAAAAAAAAAAAAGAAGAAGAAGAAAAAAGGAAGCTACAAGCGAAAACGAGAGCGCCCGATGCAAGGCGAAGCGCCACGGGCTGCCTGCCTGCCTGCCGCGGGGCGATGCTCCGCGTGGTTCAGGGCGGAGAGGGGAAAGACACGGAGTGTAACTGTACCTAACGCGGTACAGCGGTGCTCGCACGCGGAGCAAAGGGTTTTCTCAGCGCCCCGATTTAACGAGGGACTGCGCCGAGCGGAGGGCTCGCGTCCAGCCTGCGGCGACGTCCCGCCGTCCCGCTTCGGGTTTTGGTTTCTTAAGTGTCGCTTCTGCGGTTCGGAAGGGCCCTACCGGCCCGAACTTAAGAACCATGCACAAAAAGTAAAGTTAAAGTGATATTTTTATTACTATTTGCAACAAGTCAGTGGTGGGGCACATCATCTGACCTCGGCGCCGAAACACATTTAACACCGGTAAAACTTTTTTTTTTTTTAAAGGGCAATTTGTACATATAGTTAAATAATTTTTCACTTGGTGACAACATTCAGGCAGACGAGAGAGAGAGAGAGAGTAAGAAAAGGACTATACAGGGATTGGAAAATGTACCTTTGGGGTTTCGTTTGGCCGCGGCAAAAGTCCGAGCGCTTCCCTTTGCGGAGGAGGAGAGGCGGGGATGCCGTCCCCGCGGGCGGCGCCGATCCGTAGCAGTCTGCGGCCGCCGCGGTACCGGGGGGCGAGCGGCGTGCGCCCGGGCGCCGTCCCTATAGTTTGTCGAGGCTTTTGGGATTGGTGAGGATCTCCCGGGCCAGCCTCCAGGTCTGTTTGGCGGCGCTCTCCAGGGCCGAGTGGGGCTTGCCCTGAAAGAGGTCGAGGTTGGGCAGGAAGTAGTGCGGGCAGCGGCGGCACTGCAGGCAGGAGATGAGCTGCAGTAGGATGCCGTTGAGGCGGTCGCCCAGGCACGCCTCGTCCCAGTCGGTCTCCCGCGGGTGCTTCTCGCACTCGTACAGCAGCAGCGTCTTCATGTGGTAGTTGTTGAGCGGCTGCCCGGGCAGCTCCAGGTGCCGGTCCCGCAGCGTCTTGAGCACCGAGAGGCACTTGTTGCGGCAGCCGCCCATCAGCAGCCGGTTCTCGGCCTCGCCGAACTGCAGCACCCAGGCGTCGCTCTCGGCCGAGCTCTGTTTGCCCGTCAGCGAGTAGCACTCCTTGGAGAGCAGGTTGAAGCCCTCCGCCTTCACCTCGGCCACGCGGTTGGGGCCGGGCCAGGGGATGTGCGGCATGGGCCACTGCGCCGCGCTCCGCGGCCAGATGCCCGTGCACTTGAAGGCGGGCGTGATCTGCACCACGTAGCGCTCGCGGATGCGCAGCTTCACCTCGCTCGTGTCCGCGATCATCTTCACCACGTCGCGGTAGCTGCACTTGTCCACGGCCTGGGCCACCAGAGTCTGGAAGCGGGAGCGGATCTTGCGCGCCGACAGGTAGCCGGAGGCCGTGATGAACTCCACCCAGAGCGACATGCTGCGCTTGCGGCCGTCGCTCAGCTTGAGCACGGCGCAGCCCGGCAGGGAGCCGTCGTCCACGAAGTTGAAGACGCCCATCTGGTTGAGGTAGAGCACCACCTCGAACTCGGTGGGCGAGATCACCTCCAGCCCCTCGTAGCGGGCGTCGATCTCGCTCAGCGAGCTGATGAAGCGCGGCTCCTGCACCTCCACCTCCTTCAGCACGTCCGACACCACCTTGCACACCTCGCGGATGGTCTTGGCGATGGCCGCCTTGCGCGCCTGGCAGCGCTCCGTGTAGTACTTGTTGAGCTGGTACACCAGCTTGGCCTGGGCGGCGATCATGTTGGGGCACAGGTCCGGGCTGTACACCGGGCTCTCGCAGTACGTTGAGGGATCCAATGCTTTAGCGGGGGCTGCAGCTTGGCGGAGGGCAGCGGCCGGCTCGGGCACCCCCGCCCCCGCCGGGCGGACGGCGGCAGCGCGGGGCGGAGGAGGAGGAGTAGGAGGCGGCGGCACGAAGCGGCGCGGCCCGGCGCTACCCCGGCCCGGGGGCGGCGGGGGCCGGGAGGTGGATGCTGCCGCTGCGCTCGGCCGCCCGCCCCCCCGCGCCGCTGCACGGCCGCTTCAGCAGTTCATGGAATCGAAAGAGCCCGAGCGAAGTCGCGCAGGAGTTCCCCGCAGAAGCGCCGGTCGGCGGCGAAGTTTGGCACCGCCCGCGGGGCGAGAGCAGGAGGAGGAAGAGGAGGAGGAGAAGAAAGGCGTGCGGTGCCCCGAGCGAGCCCCGTCCGGCCGCCGCCCTCGGTCCGTTCTCGGTGCGTGCCCTGCCGCCGCCGGGTGCCGCCGAGCGCCCTTCTGGCCCTGGCTCCCGCGATCGTTACTCGCAGAGTTGTGCGCCCGCTCTGCGCTCGCTCATCCCCGTCCTGCGGCTCGGCACGGATTGTTGGGGTTTGTTTTTCTTTGCACACACTGTGTTATCCCGGGCGGGAGGAGGGCGGTGCGGTATGCCCGGGAGCGCTTCTCCTCCCCCTCCCCACCCCTGGCTGTGCGCGCCGCGGCTCTCTGTCCGCGCCTCTCCTCCTTCTCCTCCTCCTCTTCCTCCGCGTGTCCGCGCGGCTCTGGGCGCGCTGGCGCCGTGGTTACTTTATGAATGGGCCCCGGCCGCGGCGGAGGGGCGGAGCGCGTCTCCTACAATCGCCGCCGAGCTGTCAGCGGCGCGGCCAATCGCGGCACCGGGCGCGGCCGGAGCGGGACCGGCGGGCGGGGCGCGGGGGGCGCGGGCACGGCGACGCGCACGGCCGCGGCCTCGGGCCGGGCACCGGCAGCTCGCGGCCCGGGGGCGCCGGATGCCGGGGCTCCGGCAGTGTGCGAGGAGCGGTGGGGTGGGGGTGGGGTTAGGGTTGTCCCGGCGCCGGTATCGGGCTGTAGCGGGGAAAGTGGGAGCGTGGCCGGGGCGGGGTTGCGCGCCGCGGGCACGTTGACGGAGATAAATCCGCGTAGTAAAGTTGCGCTCATCCTTCTGAGGTGGAGGATTGAGTTATTCGAAAAGGAAACCGTATTTTATGCAAGTTTGCGTTAATGAGAGCGCTGAATGTGAAATCGCGCCAGTGTCGCGGCGGTGCAGAAACGCAGCGAGCGGGCGTTCGTGGAACGGCAGAGCAAACCGAACTCTTTTCCTTACAAACTCCCGGTGTGGGGAGAGGTGACGTCCGCCCGCTCCGCACCGCCGCTCCCCGGGCTGTGTGTCCCCCCCCTGCGGTGGACCCCGCGGATCTCCGGCGCACCGAGAGCGAGGCCGCGGCCGTTCCCACGCCGTGCGCTCCGTGCGGGGTCTCGGCTCGCTCAGCGTCCGGTTCTTTTTTGCCTTTCGTTGCGGCTGGCTGATTTTACTAAATAAAATATCGCCGTCTGTTTGCCTCGTGCGTTTAAATTAGAAACATGCCTTACGCCGGCCGTACAACCGCACGCTGGATGTAGTAGTATGGATGTGTCCGGCGCCGGTGCTGCTCGGGGCGCTGTCACCGACGAGCCGCACGCATCGGGCTTTACATCACGGCGCTGCGGCTGGGACACCGCAGGTGCCCGGCGGGAGGAGGACAGGCCGGGAGCGGCTCCGGGCAGAGCGGCCTCAAGGAGCGGCGAGAAGGGCCGTGGTACCGTCGGCCACGGCGGGCGAGAGGAGAGGCAGAGCTGGCAGAGCGCCGGGTCGGACGGGGGTGGGGGAACGCGGGTGCCTATTTTCAGGGCAAAAATAGAGCGGAGGCGGCCGCCCCCCCGCTAAGGTGACCGATGGTAAAACGTTACCGGCGCTCAGATTTAAAACAATTCATTACCAATTTTCCCGTCTGAGATTGAAGCGCTAGTAAATAATAAATCAGCTAAACAAAAGCCGACTTTAATTTATTGCCCCGGCGCTAATTAGAAACATCATTTGAGCAATAAAGTTAAACACTTCCAGCAAATAATGCACGTGAAGCCTTTCTCTGGGCGATTGCGGCCGCGCCGCATTAAGAGCGGCTTCGGCTGTGGCGGAATTTGCTCTCGCCGGGATGAATAATTGAAAGGAACGGTATCGGAGGAGCTGCAGTCGAAGAGCCCCTCTCCCCATTGCCTTTATGGATGCTGGCGCGGAAGTCCGTCAGCGCTCCTCGATGGTGCGGCAGCCCCTCCGGCGGCGGGGGACACCGTGCTCCGTTGGGATGAAGGAGCGCGGAGAGGGACTCTCGGGGCTAAAAGGCACTTGAAGCCTTCAGAGCGATTGATCTGCATTCTCCCGTTATAATCCGTCTCATCATACTTGAGTTAATGAGGCAGGGGCGGAGGTGATCTGATGGTCCTTGACAAATTCATTAGGGAGGCTGCGGGACGTTTTATTTGACTGTTAAACATGGTGTTTGTTTGGTTTAGGCAGCGCCGACGTCGGCACGCCGCTGCCTGCAGCAATAGCGTTTTGTTAGCGAGGGCTGCTGGAAACGGAGCTGCGAGGGACTCGTGCGGGGGGAGCAGCGCGCTGCCCCTCGGCGCCTCCTCCGCTGCGGGCCCGCACGTGGCAGCGCTCCTGCGGGCAGACGGGGCGGCAGTGACAGCCAACGGCGGCCGGGAAATGTGCGAGCACCTTTTTGGTTTTCTTCCATTTCGATTCGAGAGAGGATGCCGTGCGTTTTATCAAGCCTTAAAACGAAAAAGGCAAACCGACAAAACGAGAAGAAAACTGGAAAACAAATGGGAGCTTCAGCAGGAAGCACACGCATTTTTTATTGTGTTACGCTGTGGCGTGCTTGCTTTTGCTTGGCTGGCCAGCTTATCGGCAGCGTGCTTTACGTGTTTCAGACCCTTTTTATCCTAAAAGGTGTATTTTGAAGTTTTTCTCTCACGTGGTACTGATACAGCATTTATCAAGTCAGTTCGAAGTTTAACCAAAATCCTGCGACTGTTAAAGGGTTGTGCCCAATTTACGCTTTTTTCCTCTCCTCTCCCCTGAGTGGAAAGGGAAAAGCAAATGCAGGAACAGGTGCTCCCAAAAGAGATAATAAGTGTTTTTATGAAGAGCGCATGAAATATGGATGTGTACCCATCCATTTTGTTCGTGGCAGCTTTGTAGACGAGACCCAGCCAGTGCTCCATGATTTCCCAATAGCTGCTTTCCTTTCTGTCCTTTCTGCTAAGGGATGGAGGTTCATGGTAAAACACGATAATTAATCTGTTCGTGAATCCTAACATTGTGATATTTTTTTCCTGGGGATCAGTCTTCAAACATTCTCAGCTTTAAGCACTTTGTAGAGCTCTGCTTCCATTTATAGAAGAACAGTATGGGAAAAGAGCTGGTGCCCTTTGCCTGTCATTTTCATACATTCCTGCACTGCTGATGGAGCTTGAACTGCTGCAGGGAATGTATGGATTTGAGAAGAAATGATTCGGTAATTCATGTTGTGTTTCTCTGCAGCAAAACCAGGTTAATGGTTACAGTAAAGGCTGCCGTGGGTTTGATGGTTAAAATTCTGTTTACGTTCGGTAGTGTGCAGTATGTACCTTTTTTTTTAAAGGCATGGCTTGGCTTTGCTGTCTGCTGATCTCTCCTAAGAGCTGTGTTTATGAAGTTAGCTGGTAGCACACACTGAGGGAAAGATATTTTCCATTCGGCAGATGTCATTAATGTGTCTTATCAGCAAAGAGTATTATACAAATCTTGTACTTTTTTTAATGCAAGGATTGGATGGTATGGTAATGAAGTAATTTATACATGTTTCTAAGTCTCTCTTTGCTTTCTTTCTGGAGTGGTGAAAGGGGAAGGCTCCAACTACTCCTCTAAAGAGCTCAATTTTCCTTTCCTTCAAATGTGGATGTGTTCATCTTCTGGTGTTTAACCATGATCCGTATTGAAGGCTTTCTCTGTTGCTTTGAATCTTGAATTACAGGTTGCTTCTCTTCTCTCTCGAAGAATCGCTGTGGCTTTTAGCAGTAAGATTACTTTGGCTTCTAAACAGAGTTTTATAAGTTTGCACTCAATAAGTTGACAATCAGAGAAAATCAAAGAAGTGTACCAGAAAAGAACATTTCTAATGCTTTTGTAGCATTTTCTTCTTTAAAAACTTCTTGGGGCCCTTCTGTTTCGTTTGGTTTGTTTGGGTGTGGTTGCATATTATTGGTACATGCCATTTTATCCAGCAGAATTAACCTAATTCAGTGTGTTAACTGGTCTTTATTTACAATAATTGATTAGTTATGTTAATGATGTCTATTTTAAAAAGTATGAGAGCGTGTAACATCCTGGGATTTTGCCAGCTTGATCCTCAGCTGGATGCAATAACAATCGTTTGCCTGAGAAGGATATTTACGAGTTAATCTAGGCTTCTCTAATAAAATTCTTAAATTGAAATTAAAAAATTTCTGTTTCTAGCTCCAGAAGTGGAAGCTTCTCATTTATACACTAACACCTTCAGAAGTACTTCCCCAAGTAGCAATGTAACATGCTGTACTCCTGAGCCATGCTGCTGGTAACAACCCTTTAGCGAGCGCCCGTCAGTGCAGTTCATAAAGGGGAAGGGGGCTGTGGGAGGAGGGTCAGAGGGGGCTCAATCTTCTCAGTAGCACTGCTGACCAGCATGCAATATATCGAGTCACTCTTCTTTGTTTCTGCTTCTCCCCCCGCTTCTCCCCTCTCCCAGTATTTAAAGATGATTTTGTTTTTGGTGGAAGATGGTTATGGTAGAAAAGGCATGCAAGTTTTACTTAAATGTAACTTATTTATTCACTATTTTTTATGTTTCCTGTTTGAACAGTCTCGTAATCGTTGCCTTATTCAAATATTTTTCAATTTAAGTGCGGAATTAGAGCTGTCTATATTTCTGCTTGTTGTACTTCGTGATACTAAACTTTCATCCTTTTGAAGTACAGTGCTGGCATAAAGTAGCCTATTGCTAGTTATATAATCATTGCAGGGGGTTTGTTGCTACTTCTAATGAGAGAATCAAATCTTAGCTATTCCTATTTTATATCTTGCCGTGCACATTTTATTTCAGAATAACTTCTCCGTGATAATATGCTGCTCTCTTTTTAGTTTTCTTATGGATTAGATAAAAACTTGTGTGCAGAATAGTCCTACATGCTGTCTCCTGTAGCTGGGAAGGGGAAACTGTGTCGGTTCAAGTAATGTATAGAAGCCATCTGCATAGTTTAATTGAAATAATATTTGGTGATCTAAGGGATGGAAATTGTTCCTTTTCCTTAACCATCTGAAATAAAACCGGGATGTAAAACAGCTGTCTTGGCCTATGGAAATCAAGGTTCTGCCAGTCTGTTTCTTTTCTTCATTTTCTCCTTCTATCTTCCTTTATTATCTTTGGATCCCAAGGAGTCTTTCTTATTTTCTAACTGGTTTTGTCTGCAACAAGGGGCTGGGTTGCTGGGTTTAAATAGACTTTGGATAGAGTGAAAAATCTTTGATCTATGTCTATGACTGCTTCCAAATGATTTGCTTGCTGGGACTGGACACTGTCCATGCCCTTTCACTTCACTATCAGATAGGCACACAAAAAGGACTTGACATGCTACCAGATGCATAGTTAATCATTGCATTAGGTCTGTAAAGGGGTCCATCCAGACTCAATTAGGTCTACCATTTTTAACTAGCGTTTGCTCTGTAGTTTGTTTGGAATGCAATATTAATTCTAACTGCTGTTCTGTTTATTTAACAGTGTTTTTGTAGACTTTACACTTACTTTCAAGCGGTTTTCACTGCATTT